TTCTTCTGAACTACCTTTAACAAAATCAATGCAAAAATCAAAGGATAAATTCGACAGATGCAGTCTTTATACTTTATACTTAGAAGTCTAAGGTCTGAATATTTCATTAAAAATTACAGTTTACAGTTTACAACCAACACCACCATCCATCTCCAGAACTTCTTCCCCAACTGAAATTTTGTACTCCTTAAACAATAACTCCCCATTACTTCCTCCCTCAGTTGCTGGTAGCCACTATTCTACTTTCTGTCTCTATAAAGTTGACTATTCTAGGCATCTAATATAAATGGAATCATACAATATTTGTCTTTTGTGTCTGGCTTATTTCATCTGGCATAATTTCTTCAAAGTTCATCTGTGTTGTAGCTCGTACCAGAATTTCATTGTTTTTTTGCATGTACATATCACTTTTTTGTTTTTAATCTCTTCATCCATTGATGGACATCTGGGTTGTTTCTACCTTTTGACTACTGAGAATAATACTGCTATGAACATTCATATACAAATACTTGTTCAAGTCCCTGCCTTCAGTTTCGGGGGCATATACCTAGAAATGAAATTGCTGAATCACACGGCAATTCTGTGTTTAAGTTTTTGAGGAAATACCATACTGTTTTTCATGGAGGTTGCACAATTTTACATTCCCACCAGCAATTTACAAGAGTTCTAATTCCTCCACATCCTTACAATTTCTTTACTTAACAAGGCGAATCACTTCATATGGAAATCTTTCTAAAATCTATCACTCATCTCCAGCCTTCAAAAGGGAAATATTAAACAAACCTTGAAGTTTTTCTTATAGTGACTTATACACATTGATGCCTCCTCAGAAGCTATTACAATATATCTTTGAGATCTTGCACTGAGCTAGACGCTATCCTCAGTTATTTCCACAGATGAGAAACAATTCTCTCAGAATCCTTAAAAGTATCATCTCCATTTCACAGAAAAATAAATGAGGTACACAGAGGTAAAGACACTTCTCCAAGATCACACGACTAGTTAGTGAAGATGGCAGGATTCAAAGTCCTTGCCTTTAGACATTTAGTGAGACTCCTAGCCATCTGAGAATGTTTGTCTCTATATTAAATGTCCCCAAACTAATACTGTAGACTCTTAGAAAATTTGTTGGTGTTGTTCAATGTTTTATTTTGTTTTTCTTTCTGGTGTTAATCCTTGTGTCGTCAGAGTACCTACCTCTAGTCATTTTCTCTTCTCTATCCATATGCTGATACTGACATCCTGTTATTAAGAAAAACAGAAAAAGAAAGAGTTAAGGGGCACTTGGGTGGTTTAATCAGTTAAGCATCTGCCTCTGGCTCAGGTCACGATCCCAGGATCCTGGGGTAGTGTCCTGCATGGAGCCTTGTGTAGCAACCCCTGTCCCCCACCGCTCAGCTGGGAACCAGCTTCTCCCTCCTCATTCCCCCTGCTTGTGCTTTCTCTCTCTCTCTGTCAAATAAATGGATAAAATCCTTTAAGAACAAAAGAAAGAAAGGAAGGAAGGGTGGGTTAAAACTGTGTGAAAAGCAAAGTGCACAGGTTTGAGAGAGAATTTGGAGAGTCATCCTAAGGGTAAAAATATATGATTCTAAGTATTTGGCTCTCATGATATCTATTCTTGTGGTTTGAAGACATATTTTGCTTATATCTGGCTTGCTTCTTGTGTTCGAGGTACCGAGTCTACTGTTATGAATGAACATGAGTGCCTGTTCTTACTCCTCATATAATGTAATTTATTTTGTATAAAACCTTGTCCCCAAATAGCAAATATCCTTTCTATGTCTAATATGCTCTTCTGAAAAATGTCTACTTATTATTTTCATAATACACGCAGATAGAAAACAAAAAGGAAAAGGCTTTTTTTTTTTTCAAAAGACTTTATTTATTTTTTTGACAGACAGAGATCACAAGTAGGCAGAGAGGCAGGCAGAGAGAGAGGAGGAAGCAGGCTCCCTGCTGAGCAGAGAGCCCAATGCGGGGCTCGATCCCAGGACCCTGGGATCATGACCTGAGCTGAAGGCAGAGGCTTTAACCCACTGAGCCACCCAGGCAGGCACCTAGGAAAAGGCTTTTGACATTGAAAATGTCTGGTCCTACATTGAGACAATTCAGTCTATAGATCTACTGACTACTGATGATAACTGCCCATCAATATAAGCCTAGAATATTTTTGTAGAACTTACTATATGCCACAGGTATGTTTTCTAGAGAGAATAAACACGTTTCTTTCCTTGTATAACATGTATATTGTGAAGTGCTGAACATTTAACTTTTTGAAAATCAAACCTTTTTCCAGTGAAGTAGAAGAGGGCACTAGTTAAATAAATATAACAGTGAGTCTTTCTATGTACCAAAACTTTTTATTTGAAATGAATATTTCATATCACCATCTATTTTTCTAGAAATTAAGTTTTTCTATATCCACACTTTTTGAAAGATTTTTCTCCCCACATTTGTAAGATTTTCCTAGGAAACAGGTGAATAACAGGAGTAAAGCTGAGAGAAAAGTATTCACTCAAAACACAAAATGGAAAGATAAATAAGTTTCTGCAGAAAAACTATATCTAGCAGCCTAGCTGGATTCCCTTAGATTCCCTAATAATTATATATATATATATATATATCTCCAGTAGGCTCTAGGTAATTTTCATCTAAATACTGCAAATAATTTTATTCAATAAAATCAGAGTGTGCAGGGTAGTAGGGAGATGAAGGAAACAGAACCACATTCCCAAAGATGAACTAACTGGTGGGAACAACTATTTTCCTCTTACTCACAATTTTGCAGCTGGTTAGTAGATAATGCCCAAAGAAAAGAAAGTTATTTCTTGTAAGAATGTGATCCTCAAATCTAAAGGTTTGATGATATCAAACTCCCACTGAACTCTGAGATTTGATCATTTTTACACTGGTTTCTAACTAAAACGGTAATACCGTTAATATCAATAAGCACACTCAAATCCTCATAATGATTCAATTGATATTTTAAGGCATTTTTTATAACTCCTACCATGTTGGACCTCACAAATATGCTGTATGATTCTATTTGGTTTTGTCACATAAAGAAGGAACTATCTATCTCTACCCATTTCACTCAACTTCTACTAAACATACAATCCTAGGCAAGTTAACATCCCTGAAAGTTGACCTCTGTTCTCTACCTTTTGCTCTTCTAAATTTCTACTACTTGCCTTTGCAATTCATTATAGTATTGCTTTATAATGTCTTAAATTCTTCTGTAATTTTTTCACATATACATTGTTTTATTGTTAAGTATCACATCTTAACTAAGATAGACTGACTGTATAGTGAGATTTAAATAGTTTTTTTTTTTCCCAATCACCTAATAATACATTCTTCCAAAGAAGAAATTGTTGGGAGTGGAGCATTTCTCAAGGCTAATGAAATCATGAGAAACTAGAGCCATAAACCAGGTGAATTATAGATTATCTATATATCTATAGATAGATATATTTCTATCTATTATAGATAGATAGAAATATAGATTTTCAGCTATGAAACTACACCTGAAATAAAAATAGCTATTTAGAAGGATCTAGGCTTATTGAAGCTCATATATAATCAACATCCAAAAACTGAAAACTCTTAACTGAAGGATAGTTCATTCTATGTTATGGTGGTCATGAAGTAGTAAGAAAAAATAAGGAAATCTCTCAACATGGAATAAATGATGTTTGGGGAGAGAAACACAAGAGCGTTTAACAAGCAAAAAGAATGGAATTGAGAAAAGAAGGGAAAATGTCAAGACAGCTATTATGCTTTAACAGAAATGTAAATGTATTCTACCAAAAGTTTGGACTGAGCGTCAGGTTACTGGTTTCCGCCTTTTACAGTTGAAAGAAGAAAGGAAGTGAGTAAGGGAGAGGGGAAGGAGGAAGGTGAGGGGAAAAAGGAAATAGAAAAGGGAAATACAAAACAAAACACAACAACAGAAGAATTCTTCTGGAGCTTAAGAAACAATCTGACAAGTTTATAACATTTTCCTGAAGCCTGTAGCAAAATCATAATGGCCTGAAGTCTCAGTCAGGCCCCTGAAACATCTGTAGCTTTGTTCGAAATGACTAAAATGCGATACATCAGTTTATGGAAAGTGGGGAGAGCTTGCCGCAGTTGGCTGGTGTTCTAGGTGATGGATATTGATGAGCCATAAAACGACTGATATACTGCCAACCGAGGAAAACACTGGAAGCACCTCCAAAAACTCATCTGTAACCAAGATTATAAGAGTGCCCACTCTGTCCCTCCTCCCACCCTTATGGGAGAGGTGATCTTGCCTCTGGCAACCATTCCCACACAAAGGCCACAAAAGAGCGTATCTTTCCCCTTACTACCCCCTCCCTTCCTTCGCCTCAAAAATCACTCTAAAACCTGCCTTATTCTATCTTCCAATGGCTTTCTTCCTCCTTTTCTTCTTTCCTCCCTCCTATTTCTACTTCCTTCTTTCCCTCCTTCCCTGCTTTCTTTCTTTCCAAAATCCATACTTAAACAAACAAACTCCCAGATCATCCCTACTCCACCAGAAATCCGTCGCAGGGAAGACGGAATCAGACACTTGTGGCGGGCCCGTGCATTCGCCCAGCACCATCTGGCACCTGCGATTCATCGCCACTTTCATCCGCCCAGAGGTGAGAGGGGCGGGAGGCAAGAGACACGCAGAGCTGGTGTGACCCAGTTCTTTGGAAACTTTCCGCTGATCGAAACCTCTCCTCCATCTGAAACTCTTTAATCATCCATCTAGCCAGAAAGGTACGGACTTCTGCCTAGTATTTGGAGGTGAAAAAGAGGCGAAGCAAGAAAGGCAGGAGGAAGGAAGAGGTTCGCCCCTCTGCTTCCCCCACCTCCAAACCGCCGCGGGCGCGGAGCGGTGGCGCGGCCGGAAGGGGCCGCTGTTCGCTCAGAGCAGCCGCCGGGCCGCCGCCGCCGCGCCTCCCCTCCCACGGCCCCGCTGGCCCAGCCCCGCCAAGTTCCAACAGCCCCCAGTCGAGCGAGCGCCGGGAACCAGCACCGCCCTGGCAGGAGCAGACGGCGCAGACCAGCCAGGCTGCGGCGCGCGTCGGAAAGGCTCCTGGGGAAGTCCCACGACCCGGGGACTTGGGAAAGGAGAGAGCGAGCAGCCCCCGCGCGCGCCAAGTCTCCAAGTGAGCGCTCAGCTCCGGATCCGTTGCTCCTGCGCCGGCCGCCTTCCCACCCCTCGGACCCGCGCCTCCCCGGGCGCCCGCCGCCTCCCGCGATGAACCCGGCGCTGGACAACCAGACGGATGTGGCGGGCCTGCTCCTGGCCAACAGCAGCGAGGCGCTGGAGCGCGCCGTGCGCTGCTGCACCCAGGCGTCGGTGGTGACCGACGACGGCTTCGCGGAGGGCGGCCCGGACGAGCGCAGCCTGTACATCATGCGCGTGGTGCAGATCGCGGTCATGTGCGTGCTCTCCCTGACCGTGGTCTTCGGCATCTTCTTCCTCGGCTGCAACCTCCTCATCAAGTCCGAGGGCATGATCAACTTCCTGGTGAAAGACCGGAGACCGTCTAAAGAGGTGGAAGCGGTGGTCGTGGGGCCCTACTGACGGGCCCTCTCGCCGCCGCGGCAGCCGCCCCAACGCCTCCCTACTTAGCCGGCCGGGCCGCGCCCCCTCATCATCCGAGACCGGGCGAAGCAAACCTGTCGGAGTCAATCATTTCTCTCGACTTTTGCCTTTCGGGATGAAGCGACCCGTTTCTCGCTCGCCCTCTGAAAGCCCCCATTCCTGGCAGTAGGAGGAGAGGGCCCCGACTGGACTCAGCAGCAAGTGGCAAGAAGAGGGCAATTAGGGCGCAGAACTTTGGAAGCTGCCGCCGGCGTGGATGCGGGAAGACCGACCCGGCGACGGCCCTTCTCCACCCGCAGGTGGGCCACGCTCTCGGGGCAGGTGGAGCGGGCGGGCAGGGGAGAGACCCAGCGGCACCGATTGCCTGGTGGCCCGAAAAGTGACCGGTGTACACGCCACGCAACAGAACTAAGGCGGACACAGAAATCAGTGTCCGGATTCGCGCCCATTATCTCCCGCTCTTCCCAGCCCTGGCGCGAGAGACTATAAATACCTTTGATTGATTGTAACTGTGCTGTTTTAAGGGATTTTGTGTTTGCTTGAATACACATATTTGATAAGTCCTTTGCTGCCCTAGTGGCCTATTTGCCTGCCTGGGGTTAGAGTTTTGTTATCCTGGGAGAAGGGGTGGGGGGAGGGGAAAGCCTGCGAATGCTGAACGGGTGATTTGTTTCTTTTATTGCATTTCCAACTAGGGGGTGGTAGGGCGGGGGTTGGGGGGGAGGAGGCTGACGCCCTAATTAGCCCCGGGGCAAAGACTTGGAATAGAACTTGTAGCTCCTGACTGCACGGTTTACGCCACAAAAGTGCTCTTGCCGTTCATGACACCGGTTTGACTTTTTTTTTTTTTTTTTCTTATTTAACATTTCCTTAATAAATGCAACATTTAAGTGTTTTGCTCCTGGCTTCCTGGTGGTCATTCTGAGCTCCGGGCAGAAGGGAACGCGTGGTCCTGAAGAGTCGGGTTACCGGCGGGGGGGGGAATTCATTTTGGAGAGCTGCATTTCAATTCGTGGATCTCATAGACGAGTGAGGGTGCGGGTGAGAAGGAGAGGCCGAGGGACTAGTGAGACATGGCCAGGCCTCAGGCACAGGAGCCATGCTGGAGGCGGCATCCTTTGTTTTCTCTAACAGTTAATATTTTATATTTCATTTAGGCTCAGCTCTCTGAGCCAGGCGGGACAACAGGAGGCCCCCCGCGGGAAGATGACACTTCCGTGCTGGGCTCCAGCGGGAACACAGGGTTACACCGCTAATGAGAGGAAGAGATGGCTTGGCCAGCCTTCAGGGAGGGCATCTTTCCCCTGACCAACGTCAGCAAGAAGGCGTCGGGGTGCTGCTCCAAAATAGATAAATAATTAATGAATAAATGTGAGAAAAAGTAGCTGCTAACGTATGTAAGGATGCTAATTCTCCCTGGGAGAATTAAAAACACTGTTGTTAAAACATGACATGCGTTATCTTTGCCGTATTACATTTTCCAGAGCAATGGTGAAATTAAAAGCAAGATTTGGCCTGCTTTTTAATCTGGAGTTACCAATCCCAGGCCAGGCAAAAAGGCTCAGAGGAGTTAGCCAAGGTCCTGAACGCCAGGAGTGAGTATGTTAAACCCACTCAGGGAAGGCTGGGCTGGGGTAGAGCTACAGCTCGTGCTAAGAGCATTTTGGACTTTAGAAGTTGAAGACTGATAGCAAGAAGAGCCTAGAAAACCGTGACTGTGAAAATAACCCAAAGGATACAACTCCAGGCTTCAACTTGATAAGAAGTGTAGAGCAGTTCATACTGACACTTGGGGTGGGATCCTAAATATTTTCAAAAATATAAAGGATCCTCTACCATGCCATAGCAACGGAAGACTTCACAATAGCAGACAGAAGACTGAGAACAATTAAGTAACAATAAGATGTCCCATGTACTCAGGAAGAAACACAACTGGTACAAACACGGTCGTTTGACTCAAAGATTGGGATCAAAAGGTTTGCGTATCCTTTGACATCCTCTCTACTGTTAAGTGTCTATTTAACTCTTAGTGTAAATCTCATCAGGAATTATGACTTCACATGGTTTTTTTGAATGCTGATAGGTTTCAGGAGTGAAAAAAAAAAAGGATTTTGAAGTTTTGCCTGTTGTTCCTGTCTTCTCAGCTGGTAAGGGTTTGCTTATTTGTTTTTTGTTTTCCCTATCTGGGGAGGGACGCAGAGTCCTCATGCACTCAAGGGTGAATCACGGAAGACAGTTTACTTTGGCTAATGGAGAGGACTGGAAATGGAGACTTTTTATTTTGTAGACAGTGTCTGTGGCACCAAGCGAAGCTGCCGCCTCCATGTTTCAAAGAGAGAAACAAGACAGAACAACCAGTTCACCCTGGGACAAACCTGTTAAAATTAAACTCCGTTTTTTGTTTGTTTGTTTGTTTGTTTGTTTGTTTTTTGGTGGCTGCAACAGCAGCTGAAGGTTCCTTCTTCCTGCAGATTTATTAGCCCATCAGTGAATTCAGTGTTCTGGTGGAAATTGATTTGGGATCAAAAACCAACCAGCTAGAGTTTGTAGGAATCTTGCTATGTGCTCTGCGGTATAAGGTGCATGTTTACAGTGAGTTTCAGACACAGAACTGTTTTAGACCTGCAGGTCCATTTTCACTTGTTTGTATACAACAGACGTTTCCACTGAAAGCCAAAGTCCTAAAAATTGAAAGAGGGGCCTGCCCAAGCAACTCTGAGTTGCCTGGGCTGTCTCCTCTATCATGATGCTCTCCTCCATGCTTGTTTGTCTTAATACTTCTTTACACCTCTTTACTCCTCCATGTAGCTCAAAAGAAAATTTAGCTTCTTCTTGCCTCAACTATCCAAATTTATTCTCTTATTCCCAGAAATGGTGATTGTCAGACAAACCAGAACCTGCAAAATTTAGTCTTCAGGTAAAACAAGATATGTGAGCAGAGCTCTGTTATCCATGATCTATGCATTATAGGGAAAGGCACACAGTCTGAAAATATCGTAGCCCTGGGGACCATTTCCTGCCAACAACTCTTCTCTACAGCCCTTAGATCCATTTGTTACTTAGAGAGATGCCAAGTGGTTCTGGTTTTTATAGATCAGGTGATGTGTGCAAGAAGCTTTTTACACTCCCTATTCCCTAATGGCCACACGGCAACCACTTTCCCGTGCCCCACGCCACTCCCTGTCTCGTACTGCCTTTGGCACTTTCTCTGATTCCAAGAAATACATTAAATGAAACTTCTTAATCCTGTCCAGAGTGTATGGAGCATCTATCCTTTCCCACAGTCATGCTGTAAAGGAACGTGAGCTTTAAAAATCACTCTCTGTGTCCGACCTAAGAAAACAATTTCAGCCTTAAGAGACTGGGATTTGGGAGGGAGAGATGCAAACAGGCAGATTATCTCATTCCACACTGAAGTCCACTCTTTGGTCAGTAATGAGTGGGAAGCCCCGAGAGAGAGAGAGATGGCTTTCTGTAAAAGCTTGCTGGCTCTGACCTAGTCCATGGGGAGGTATTTGATGCTCCTGAAACACTTCAGGAAATACAGCAGAAGCCGGGAGAGGTTTGTGTGAGACTCAGTAAGCGGATGAGCCAGGCCGTGACCCCTCTCAGGCTGTGCAGCTAGCCACTGACGCCTCTGAGCTGAATGGAGTGGCCTCCGCGTGAGGGTCTGAGCCAATAGTGAATGAATACATGTTATTTTTCTTAAGGCTCTGATACAGACCTTCTCACTGTCTCTGAAACTCTATTAAGAACTTGGATGCTGAACACCTTGAGGGTGCTTGAGGGAAGACAAAATATAAAGGTCATGCCACTGTGTTAGGTCTAAGATCAGACTTGCTCCTGGGGGACAGTCCCTGTGCCTGATTATTGATTTCCAAGACACCCTGACCTCTCCTTGGGTGCAGAATCAGTCCTGTGACTGTCTGCTTATGCTAATTGGGAGGTGGGGGAAGGGAAAGGCATACTGGACTATGATGGAAGAAAGCTTTGTTCTCGTCTCTGGGTAGCTGAGTGGCCTCATCCCTGAAATGAAAAAGATGGACTCTAAAAGGACATTCTACAATTCTATTCAATTAACCTTTGTAACATTTCCTTGTCTCTTTTTTTTTGTTTGTTTTAAACATATATATTTTTTTAGGTTTTTATTTATTTATTTGAGAGAGAGAATGAGAGAGAGAGAATATGAGAAGAGGGAGGGTCAGAGGGAGAAGCAGACTCCTTGCCAAGCAGGGAGCCCAATGCGGGACTCCATCCCGGGACTCCAGGATCATGACCTGAGCCGAAGGCTGTTGCTTAACCAACTGACCCACCTACGCGCCCCATATCATTGTCTCTTAAGATGTTTCATACATCTCTTCATGAGGTGACCTTAGAAATACATTTTATCTTTCCAATCTTGGTCCTTTGGGTAGAAACGTTTATCCCCAAGAGCCAAGTGCTCCTTGACTCAGGATATGCTATTTACAATAACCAAAGCAAAATTTCAGACACCCAGCTAGGCCCAGGTGGACAACAGTTTCTAAACTGATAAATCACACATCATCTAACGGTGCCTACCTATTCCAGATGTCTATATTCTTACTGGATGGCACAATGAAAGCAAAGCCCTTCACTGAATGAAGGAGCAAATAATTGGCAAGTGATTCATCTAGATCACGTGCAGTCAAGCTAATATGTGCTGTTGTTTACAGAAATTTCTCGGGTGTTTGAAGACACATCAACAGCCAATTTTTCTCCCCCAAAGCATTTTCCCCTTTGAGCTTCTACAACACCACACAGCAGCTGTTCCTCGCGCAGTTAGAGCCTGAGTTAGCCTTGGCTTATTGTAATTATCATTTGGGGAGTTGCAGTGCCAGGAAAGGATTCCAGGGTTCAGTTTGTTCTCTAAGACTCAAACCTACTTTGAAAGCCTATTGAAGCAGCAAGTCTAAAGCAATCCCCCAAACAGGATCAACAAATCTTTTATCCACCTGCCAAATCCTATTTAGGTATGTGCACAATAG